ACCTTTCCCTCCAAAGTCTGTCTTGCATTAAGGTTGGTGGCGCTCTCGATGTGTTCCTGCAAGTACTCAAAATGCCTGAGGCACGTGTCCCACTGGCCATTGGCATGCCCGTGCGCCCGTGCACCTTACCTGCGCCACGGCCTCGGAGCCACTTCGCCTCGGAAGTGCATCTCGCGCTGTCCTTCTTGCAGGCAGTGGAGTCGGCTGCCAGAGCCCCTCAATTCCCACCTGCCCCTGACCTTACGCCGGCCGACTTTGTGCGGCTCAAACAGCGCATCATTGCCCTCCACCCAGTAGCCAGGCGCCACAACCCTCGGGAGCCGTTCTGCAGCAATTGGCGTCTCCCGGCATCGCTGATCCCAGAAGAGCTGCACGCGTTGGCTGCCCTGATGGGACAGTCCTTTTGTCGCCACATTGCTGAGCTTCTGAACAGCCCGGATGGCCTCCTGAGCGGGCACATCACGGCCATTCTAGCCGCTCGGGCACAAGGCCGCAGCTCTCTCAGCATCCTGGGCTGTGCTGGCTCATCCAAAACTTTCTCTCTGTGGTGCGCCCTAGTCTGTCTGGATGCTGTTCTGGAGCAAACGGTATTCTGGACAGCGCAGCAGCATTCTGCGCTCATTGCTGTTGTCCGTATTGCCTCCAACCTGTTGGTCGATGCCCCGCAATGGCTGCGCCCGCTTGTCGTTGTGCGTAGGGTGTCTGGCGATGCCGAAGTGATCGACCCATCTTTTGATCATGTGCCTTTCACCGAAGCTGCCGAACACCAAGCGGCCGGCTTAGGAGAGATTGCCACGACTCAGCCAGGATCCACGGGGCGCAACGCCCGTCTTACATCCCCCTCAGTTGGCAGTGCTCACATGTTGCTGCTCACACAGGGCTCTGCCGCGCTGCAACTTCGTTATGCCTCCTATAGCGAGGTGAAAACCTACCTTACCAGCGCACATGTCATTGTCATTGTGATTGACGAGGGGCAACAGGAAGGACAGCCCGCCTCGGCGGCCATCCTTGCGAACACTGCCGGCCAGCTCGTCATCCGCACCGGGGACCCACGACAACCCGCGGGTGGCGGTAAAGGCGAGGTCCGAGTACGCACCCTGGCACGACTCATTGCCAAGCCCGTCGGCATCCGCGGCGTCGCCCAGCTAGCCCCGCAGCCTGTCTCCCCGGGACGCCTTGCCGCGGCACAGAGGTTTGGTTCAGTCTACACCGCAGGGGCCGCTTCACACTATCCGGCGGACTAGCTTAGGACACCGTCATGACGGCCATCAGGGCGCTGAGCCGCCGACGGGAACCACCATAACCGTGCGGCGAGAGTTGTCCGAGTGCCTCTTTGGCATTGAGGAGGAGGTTGAGGTCAACCTCGATGAGGATCTGCAGGAGCTACGAGGATGTCGGGTCACCCGACAAGGGATGAAATACTTCATTCCTTATTCAGGCATCACCAGCATAGGTGACCGAGTGTGCCCTCACCCCGACCGGCTCACGCCAGCGGCTATTGCGGTGGACTTCCTCCACCAGTCGGAGTCCCATAGCGAGGCGATGTTGTGCTATCTCAATCGTCTGTCAGCTGTCGGTGCAATACTGGCGCCGGCCAATACCGCTATGCAAGCTGAAGGCTTGGCCCCCATCAATGGGGTTTGCCTGAATCTAGCCCTGGTCGCCTCCACCAGGCTGCTGGCTGACCTTTATCTACTAATCACGGCCGTTCGATACCCTCAATCCATCAGTATGCACAGGGTTTCCGATACCACTCCGTGCCCGATCACCATTGGTGAGCTAGCTGCGGACACCGCGGCGAGGCGGCTTCAACGGGTAGCGGCGGACGGCACTCACCAGCCAGGAGTGTACTTCGTCCGATTGCCGCGGCACACATCTTCGGACATGCACCCAGATGGCTTGATGGAATTGCTCTGTGTCCTCCTGGTATTCGCCTACAGCGTCTGCGGGCATCGCTTCGCAGTGCAGGCAGGGCGGAAAGTCACGGTAGTCACACCCACCACCCGGGTTTTTGACGCCCTCAAGCATGGTCTTGGCCTCAGCAATGCTCGCCCCGCCAACGCGGACACCGGTAACGCGCACCGAGTGTTGGCCGAAGGTACATCCCTCGCGGAGTTTATCTCGGATTGGCTGCCAGAGCTCCCCCCGCCGGGACACCTTACCACGGAGGCGCAGGCTGCATCCCTCTTCTCCTTCTTCTATGACCATCACAATGAATTAGGGGCATTCGTGGACCTCTTCACCACTACAGTCTGCGCTGGCACTACAGGTGCAGTCGACATCTGCATTCTCGACAGGGCTGGCCGATTTACCATGACCGGAGAGGATGCTCATCAGCGGCTCACGGCGGGCAGCACGCGACCCACGGGCCCATTGATCATCGCCTCTCCCACTCATTGGTGGGGCATTCCGGCGGCCTTGGAGCTCCACTCTGTCCTCCATCACACCCACGTGCGATGGAAGGAGCTGTACAGCGCCTATGGGCTGGCCAAGCTTGGGATATCAAGCCCTCTCCGCGAGGACAAGAAAACTGCCCAGGAGTTTTACGAACGATGGTCCGTGAATCGCGTCCCCTCGCTCTGTAAGGCTACAGCGGTAGCAGCTCACAATGGCATAGAGGGCTACCCGGTTCAGCTCCTCCTTCGGAGGGTAGACTTTGAGCACAGTGAACCGCGCGGTCAGTCCATCACGGCACAGCTGTTTTACTCTGTCATCGATACCGAGTTTCCTGTGTTTGGACTACTGGAGTTCACTAACCCGCCGAGGTTCGGGCTCCATCGCCTCCGCGACCACAAAGGAGGGGGTGTCTCTCTCCCCAAGAGACTCTTCAGCGCTCTTCGCTCCACCTATCACAGATCGCTGATAGGGTCACCAGGCTGCTAGGGAGGTTGCAGCGCTATGTGTCGTCGCGCCAACGACATTCTTCCTCTCAGGCAACATGGCTACTACTGGACTGCCAAGAGCCCTATATGATCCGACAGGTGCGGTGCGCCCGGACCCGGAGATCGGCGAGCCTGCCAAGGAAGATCCGACGCTGACAGCCGAGCTGCGCAGCCAAAGCTGTGCGGCCTCTCACCCAGTTGCACCTACCGCTACATGGACTCAACGTGTGGAGGACCTACTGGGCGCGGTCGAATCCCCGCCTGATCGTCTTGTGCCAGAGGTCACCTCAATTGCCAGCAGGTGTGTACCAGCAGATGATGAGGATGAATTCGCGGAGCAGCTGACACCCTTCGCCGTTACCAAGCTAGGGGCAGACTTCAACAGCCGGTTAAAGGAATTGACTGCGCTGAGGCACTTCAGCAATTACTTTCCAGCTCTCCGGACTGCCTTACCCTGCTTTCTCTCCCCTTGTCGTTGCCTGCTTGTGAGCTCAAACTCAGTCCACAGAACTTTGGGGTGAAAGTTGTGGATTTTGCGGACCGAGCCCTCATGTTGCGACGCTGCACTGAGAGCGAAGTCTTTCGCACCACTGCTTGCTGTGTCTGTGGCATTGGTCCATTTTTGTGATCCAGTTCTGCGCTGAGTGGAAGGACAGGTTTTCGACCTGTCCTGGTACGAACTGGCCCGGCCGGTCTTTTGGTGGTAGCTGCTTCTTGACGAACTGTCGGAGCTCAAAAGCTCTCTCCCACGGGCTCTCGCAGGACGGAAATCCCCTGTTCGCGATGGCAGCCTTATCTAGATGTCTCTGGCTCCCAAGCGCAACCCTACTGCAACACCAGACCCTTTGCCGACCAATAGCCGACGGGGGGAGAACTCCAGCCAGCGGCGTACCACCGGGGGAAGCAGCACTGTTGCCGAGGACAACAAGGTACTTCGCTTCTGCATTGTGGAGTACTGCTGCCAGTGCAACTACTCTTTTTCCTTACCCGTGCGTGGCCGACGACCCATCGTCCGTCCCACTCCTGCAACTCGCCAGTGTAACTCCTTGTAAAACTTACAAACCCTGAACAACCCGTCAAGGTCTGCACAGACTTTTGCTCGCGCAACAAACGAAGTGTTCAGCTGTTCTTGCACTGCACTGCTGTCACCTAAAGCTTTGCTTTAAGCTTTGCTTTAATGAGCCTCAGAACGTGTTTCATCATCGGCCCATTCTTTCAACGAGCTTCAGTCTCAAAGCTTTCCAGCCTTGAGCCACACATAAGCGCGGCACTCCGGATTCACATGTGCTTCAGCACATGTCAAAACAAAACTTCGCTTCAAAAGCATACCGTCACAGCTTCCCTACAAGCTCCACGCTGGCAAACAAACTCGCATACACTACAGCTGTTCGAGAAGGTACCTTGAGGCCTTCGAGAACTCATGCGGACTAACGGCTCACAGCATTCACTCATCTCACTCAAAAGCTCAAGCAACTCATGCCACATGTCGAAAACTGTTCTCGCAGCTGAAAACCAAGGTTCCATGCCATGAAAACCGCAGCTCCCAGTGAAAATCTTCCAGTGCTTTGAGAAAACCTCTGCAAAACCAAAACCATGCAGAATATATCCAGATAACCATTGCACCTCAGAAAATTCCAGGAATCGCAGGAAAATTGGCTTGCACTCCAAACTGCAGTCAGCAGCCTGATGATATACATATCGCAGCCCAGCACACTGAGCGGCTCCACCACTCAACAGGCAGCTCAGAGGTACAACTTTTCTCTTCGCCGGGCTGCAAGCCGTCAGAGACGAGTCCGAAAGATGAATTCACATGCAAGTGAGAAGAACCTCAGCCACTTTGGGCGAGGGCGGCCCTACGTCCTAGACTACAGGTGGCTGGTTACACCCGCCAACCTCAGTCGTTTTCAGACGAGGTAGGCCCTACCAAAGACTGTACAGGCGGGTTCTACCGGAGCCCGGGCAAGCTGCCTCAGGAGCAGACCTCAGCCGAACAGGCGAGGAAAGAACCGAGGGATGCCCAAGGCACTCCCAAGCACCGCTGCAAGGTCGAACCTCAGCCAAAGGGCGAGGAAGGAGCCAGAGGTGTGCCTTAGGAGAAGAGTGCCGAAAGCTCAGAGTCTACGGCACAGGAGGCTGGGCAGCTTTTGCCGCTGCCATTTCACGCCGTCGCTTGGCCGTGGTGAGGCGGACGTGCCTCGCCGTCATGGCATGGGCCTCGAGGATCCATCAGTTGTTGATTGGAGGTAGCGACCCCGCGGAGAAAGTTCTCGCTGAAAACTTGAACGTGGGGCGGCTCCTCACGTGCCCCAGCTGGAGCCGGACCTCGAGCCTGCCGGCGAGGAGAGGGGCTTGGGGAGTCCGTAGCTTCGTCTCCCGAGACCCCTGAAGGGTTCGGGAAGGTAGGACTGGGCTCCCTCTGCTCCGCAACGGAAGCGAGGCCTTCGAGGCCCGGCTCTTCAGGGTCCGGCTGGGACGTGGAGAGACCCGAAACCTCAGCCAAGGAGGCGAGGGTCTCAAGAGGACCACTTCCAGCCGTCGGGACAGCGCTGCGGTTTGCAGCTGCCGAAGCAGCGGTGGCGATTGTGGCCCCTTTACCCGGGCCACGGGGTGTGGAAAAGGAAGGCTGACGAAGTGCCAGGCGGGCCAGAGAAAGGCCGGGCGGTAGCCTGTGGCTCAGGACCAACTGAAGCAGAGACTGCAACCTCAGCCGGAGGCGAGGGCTTGACCCCAGGCGTCTCCGAAGAGCCGGCGGCTTTGGAGGCAGGGGTCCCCTGCTCAGGTAGGCCCGGAAGTGGAGCCGTTGCTAGGGCCGAGGTGGCAGGACCCACGGCCGGCTGCCGAAGCGCCGGGGATGGGGCAGCGACCTCAGCCGAAGGCGAGGGGAGGCCCTTGGGACCGGCTTGAGGACTGGCCTCGGCGGGCAGAGCGGGCCGAGAGCCGGCCGGGGCTGAGGAAGCAACTCCTGCAGTGGCTGGGGGCTCCACCATGGTGCGGGAGGCCCACGGTTACGGGGGTGAAAGGTCATTGGAGGACCGTTGGTTCCTTGAGCGGGGAAGACCCACGTGTGGCCAGGGAAGCTGCACAGGGGAGGGAAACCTCAGCCGAAGGCGAGGAGGCTGCTGGGGGGAGCTCGGGTGCCACCACTCGTTGGGGAACCTCAGCCGCCAGGGGCGAGGGCGGCACCAGGAGATGCGGTCTATCATGAGCCGCGATCTCATGCTCGTCCACGAGCAACCACCGAACTCCTGACCGGTGGGTTCCGAGGAACCCACCGTCCGGCCATGTTCTCGCGCTGCGGCAGGCCATGCCTGCCAGCCGCGACGTTTCTCCGAGGAGAAACTGCAACGAAGAGAGCGGGTTGAGCGTGAGACGATGCCAAGCGCCCTCCCCCCCCCCCCGCCTTGCTTCGATCTCGAGATGAAGCACATCCGGATCTTTGCGCTTTGGCGGGGGGGGGCGGGGGGGGTTGGGCCTGGCGACGGGGGTGGGAGGGGGGGTTGTCGCCGCCGCCGCTGGGGCAGGCTGGGAGGAGGAGGACGAGGAGGAGTCGTCAGACTCCACCTCCATTGCAACCTCAGCCACAGGGGGCGAGGGGCCGGCAGAGCCCGACGACTTGCTGGCCGTCGTCCGGTTCGTCACGCGGCGCGATGAGGGAAGAGGCTGGTCGTCGTCGTCCACCTCAGCCCTTCGGCGAGGAGCAGGCGGAGGGGCGGGGGGCGGGTTCGCCTGGACCCTCTCACGGTCCTGCTCCTGGCGCGCTTTGGCCTTAGCGCGTGCTGCCTTGTCCGGACGCAACTTGCGTCTGGACAGGGAGCTTGTGCTGTGCCAGATCCCTGTCTGGTCCCATCGCTCCTGTTGCTCGCGAGCGTGGCGGCCCTTGGGCGCCATGGTGCCCTCCTTGAGCCGAAGCTAACGGAAGAACTTGGTGACTGAAGGACAGGGAGGAGGAGGCTTGGGCTTGGGCTTGGGCCGGGGCTTTGGTTTAGGCTTGGAGGCAAGGGTGCTTTTGGGAGCAGGACCTGGGGCCTTTAGAGCCGGGGCCTCAAGTGACGAACCAAGGCTTGCAGGAGCCTGGGCCTGAGAAACCTCCGAAGGGGACCCAGGGCCTTCGAGGGGAAAGGAAGCCTTGGGTGCTAGGACCTCAACCGAAGTGAGGGCAGTAGCAGGGGCAGAACCCTGAAGGGGACCCCAAGAGCAAGGCACAGGGGGAACCACCGGGGCAGCAGCAGAGGCAGGAGGGGAAACCTGGGGCCCAGAGAGAGAGGAACCTTTAGAAAAGAACCCCCGCACCGAAGGAAGCGCACAGGGCGCTACGAGCTTTTTTGGCGCAGCGCCCATTCGGAGGGTCACGTGACCGTGGCATTGGCTGCACTTCCAGGACGGCCCCTGGCGCACGAGGGTGTGCGAGGGGTGAGCAGCAAAAGGGCACGAAACCGCAGCCGTTCGGCACGGGAAGGAAATGAGGCGCTCAAAGGTTTCCGGTGTGTCAACCTGGTAAATGCACAGAGAGCACTCAGAACACTTAACACACAGGTTAAAGCTCTTTTCCTTTGAGGTGCGGGACCAGACGTGCCCGCCAGGAAGAAAGGGCTCGTCGAGAAGAGCCTGCAACCTCTGCCTCTTGTTGGGCGAGGGAGAAGCGGAGGACTCAAGGGCGGAGAGGAGGCGGTTCTTCCGCGGGACGAAGTCCTCTTTTTCGGCCTTGGCAAGGATTGCAGCGGCGCGACGGCCCAAGTACTCGCAGACGAGGGAGGTGACCCGGTCAACCTCCTTCTGGGCGGCAAGGCGGTGAGGAGTCTGAACTTCCTCAGCGCGGTCCTTGGCGAGCTTATCTGCCAGGGAGTTGAGCTCGCGACGCCACAAGGAATCAGCGCCAAACTCAAGACAAAAGTCCGAGGAGTTCAGGTGGGAGCGGACCCAGTGTGGCTCGGCTCTGTGCCTGTGGTCCCACGCCTTAGACCACACAAGCGAGGTGCGCTTGGTAAAGGGGCCTTGTAGGCTCCGGAGAGCGGGCTGGCAGTCACAAGTGAGGTCGAAGGTGCCTCGAGAGGAAAGGAGGGCCTGGGCGATAGCCTCACTCTCGCCTTCCGGGACGGAGGCGGGGGCCGGCAAAAGCCCCGACAGGGTGCCAAGGACCGAAAAGTCGCCATTGTGCCTGCTAGCGACTATGACGGCCCAACCGACCGAGCGGAGGCGACTGTCTTTGGTGGCAGGGCCACCGGAAGCGTCAGTGGCAACGAAAAGCCCAGTTAAGTCCGGGGTGCCTTCAAGGAAGAGACCAGTGCGCCGGACCTCAGCCTCGTGGGCGAGGGGATCGCGGGTGTTGAGGGGCCGCATCCCGCGCAACCAGAGGCACTCGGCAGGGTGGCGCCTCTTATAAGACAACAGCCAGCCTGCGGGCATGAGGGCGCCCGGGACTTTCTCACACTCGTAGAGAAGGTGGTGCAGGGTGTTGGGTTCTCCACAGAATTTGCACCGGTCCTTCCCTCCGTTGCCCGAGTGAAGGAGGGTGCCTTGGAAGACGGCCCTAAGGCCGTGCCGCCAGGGCTTCGTCCGAGAACTGGCTAAGAGGCGGCGCGGCACGGTAGGGGCGGCACCGGCGGCGGTGGAGACGGCGCCAATACGGGACCAGCGCTCGAGCTGAATGACCTGGCGGAGGAAGGCGGAGGCCTCAAAAACCGCTCCTGGCTCGCGGAAGCGGAAGTGAAAGGTAGCCTCGCGGTGTGTCCAGACTTCAGGGGTGGGGGCAGACACCCGCAAGTCCAGCAAGTACTGGATGAGCGCGGACACGGGGCCGTTCACGATTTTCCACCCATGGGTGGCAGAGGCCTGTCTGGACCAGGAGGAGGCCCAGGTGCGGGTGAGTAACCGCACGCCTTCGGGTGAGGCGCTGGAGGCAAGGCGCCCAAGAGCCTGAAGCTGTTCCACTACCACAAGCTGGTGTGGGTCAACGGCCTTGTGGGACATGAGGTCGAGAATGACGTCGGCAGAGCCGTGCTCAAAACGGCCAGCTTCGCGCGCAACCGCCGAGCGTAAAACCTTGAGGCGCTTAGGGGCAACCCCAACGGCCTGGTGGCCATAAAGGCCAGCCTTGAGGGCGGAGGCTTGGAGCAGCCGGCCCCGAACCCACCGGCGGCGGATGCGGAGGCGGCGCATGTGGCGGACACGACCGATGCCGGTGCGGAAGCGCTTTTGGGCGGTGGTGATGCGCCGCCGCCGGCCTGCAGCGCAGTCAAGCCCTAGGTCCTTGACAAGGTCAGCGGTTTCGGGTTCGCCCGGGCGCCGCAGCTGCTGAAGCGCGGCGCGAGCGCGGACCGTACCGGCAACGAACTTGGTCTTTGTTGTCTCAACCTCAAGGCCCTCAAGGCCGAGGGAGGCGTGAAGAACCCGGTAGGCCTGGAGAGCTGCAGAAGCGACCTCAACAGGGTCAGAACCCACCACGTCTAAACTCACGTCGTCCAACCATAAGTCTGTGTTGGTGACGGAGGGAAGGGAGGAAACCTTCTGGAGTGGCTCAGACATGGTGAGTTTGGAAAGCGAGGGTGCGAGGGGACAGCCCTGGGGTACGCCCCGGCCAGGAAAGAGCGGCGTGGCAGCGATCGAGTCGGCCACGAGACAGCGAGGACCCTGGTAGACCTGGAGGGCGAACCAGAGGTGAAGAGGAGGGAAACGGTGAGCGAGCCCTTGGAGGAGAAGGCGCTCGTAGCTCACAGAGTCGAAGAAACCTCGCAAGTCGAGGAAGAGACTCACTATGTGAGTCTTCTCGAGCTTTGAATGCTCTGACCTGACAAGGCGGGCCAACGCCGTGTCAAGGCTGGCCTGGCCCGGGACTGCGCGGTCCCATGGATGGTCGGGGGCGTAAGCCGACGTCCAGGCCGCGACGTCCTTCCACCTAGCTCGCGCCCACAGTCTCCACAAACATGGGAGGAGACTGATGGGACGCTCCTTGTCGGCCGACTTCGGGAGAAGAGCGACCTGAACACAAGTGAGCTGGAAAGGCAGGAGGACCTCAGCCTCAGCACGGGCGAGGAAGTCGGCGACGAGCTGAAGAGCCGCCGGGTCCAGCGCACGAAGGGCTGGGTAGCTCCAACCGTCTGGGCCCCCTTTCTTTTTCTCGGCTTTCTTAAGGAGTTTTTGAAGGTTGGGGACAGTCAAAGGAGCCAGGGTGCCAGCATGGGAGACGGCCCTCGAGCGGAGCTCCGCGAGGAGAGGGTGCGAAAAGCGCTGGGGGGGGGCCTGCCAAACGCGGCCCCAATGCTCGTGCCTCTCGAATGCAGTCCTGAAAGGGCCGGTCAAGCACCTGCTCATGAGACTTGATGGCACGAAAGAGCGGCCCCAGGTGTGAACCCGAAGCTTCCTCAAGCCGCTCGCCGTACTGTTCAGCCTGCTGGGCAGTTTGTTCGCGCCGGAGTTGGCCAAGGAGGGCGGTTCCTTCGGCGCGGAGGTTGGCGGAAGAAGTGGAGCCGTCTCGCACCCGGTCACAAAAGGCTCGGACCTCCGAGGGGAGGGAAGTGTCCGAGGTGGACCACAGGAAGGACTGCACAGCGTCGGGGCGGTCGAGCAGGTGAAGCACGGCCGACACCAAGGAGGGGAGCTGGCCTTTCCAGGCAAAAGTGACAGAGTGGCCCTGGACGAGGGGCTTGTGAAGAAGGGGGACGAAAGCCCCACGCCCTCGGTCGGGGAACCCGTGAGAGACCTCAAGGAAGGAGCTCAGCTCGGCGAAGTCGAGGGTGAGCTTGTCGGTGGAAGTGAGGCCAAGAAGATTAACCTCAGCGACAGGCGAGGGGCTCGGGACCGAGGGTTGAAAGGGCAGAGGGTCGGGAAAGACCTCACAAAAGGTAGCAAGCTGCGGGTAAGGAAGCTGCAGAGAGCTGAGCTGAAGAGTGGCCCGCAGGGCGCAGTGAGGCTTGAAGGGGACGACCCAGTCCTGAGCCACTGTCAAGGAAGCAACAGCCGGAGACGAGACAAGGAAGTAATCAATTTCCCGGTCGGTTGCAGCGGTGGGTGAACCGGAACCCAGGAAACGCCCATGGGAAACTTCCTCAAGCCGTGTGGCGAGGAGATCTTGTGTGGGGTTGTTCCAGTCACCCGCGACAATCCACACTCCCCGGAGGGAAGGAAGAAAGGCTAAGAGGCGAGCTAGGACATCGGCGTTGACCGGAGAGTTAAAGCCAGTACCGGACTGGAGGTAAATGGAAACCAGAGTGAGTTCAAAACCGGAACACCGAAGCGAAACTGCCAGGAAACCACAACCCTCAACGGTGTGGGTGAGGACATGACGAGGGTTGAGGAAGGAGCGGATGAGGACACCGAAACCTCCCAGGGGGCGCCTCTTATCACTTAGGAAGGGAGGCGAGGTAAAGAGGCGAAACCCTCTTTTAGAGGCGGCAATCGCAGCCTCATGAGCAGCCTCCGTGGTGAGGTGAAGCTCCTGAAGCAGAACCCCATGGCCTTCAAGAGAGAAGGCCCAATCCCGAACCTCTGGCCTCCAGTGAGTAACATTGGCAGACAGGAGCCTGAGGGAGTGGGGGGTATTATGTTGCAGGGAGAGAACCTGAGCCATTTGCTTGAGGAGGTGCCACTTAGCGGGGGAGGGTGTGTCATCATGGATGGCATCAAGGGCATGTTCCAAAAACCACTCCTCGGAAGAACCCGGCGAAATAGCATCCTCGACCTTAGAAGCGAACTCAACAAGGTCGCGCTCAACCGAGGAGGCAGGATTCAGGGCCTGGTCGCACATCTCGACCTGGAGCTGGGTGAAGAGGCCCGGCATTTGGAGCCGGTGGCGACGGTGCTTGGACCGTCTGTCACGCCTGGCACCTCGACGGCTCGATGGGCCGGAGGGCTGGGCCAAATTAGGGCACCAGGTCGAGGCAGGGCTGGGGTCCGAGGCGAAAGCCTGTGGGAAGTAAACCGGCCCTGTGAGAAGAGAGGGGGGCGCCACCAAGGACTCAAGAGAAAGAATCCGGGGCTGCCGTCGAGAAGAGCGTGTAACCTCGACCCACTCAGGGGAGGGGAGGGTAGAACCGGCCGAGGGAGGAACGAACACCTGAGGGTGAAGGAAAGCTCCCGGACCTGGGCCGTCAAGAGTGAAGTTGAAACCCGAGGAGGAGGCCGATGGCTCCTCAAAGAAAGAGGTGTGCCAGTACCCCTCGCTCGGAAAGAGTTGAGCCACAGGCAGTTGGCCCGATCTGCCCAAAACCTCAGGCTCCAAAACGGCTAAGCCGAGGGGAGGAGGTATGCGGGAGGGAACCTGAGAGAGGGAGGGTGCGGGGTCAAGGGCGGGAAAGCTGGGGCGAAAGGGAAACGAAACTGGACCAAGAGGCCCCCAAAAATCCGCCCCCGGACCCCTACCGCCCCTACCACCCTCCTACGAACCAGTCGCCTTGGCAGCGTCAGAGGCCGAAGGCACGCGAGAGGGTGAGCGGCTACGGGTCTTCGGCGGGGTGGTAAGGCCGACCTGGCAACCCCAGATTTCTCGGCAGAGCCGTCAGGGGCCTCCTCGGTAAGATCACCATTGGCCTGTCCATCACCTGCCGGGGGAGGAGGGGAGCCGAACTTAAAAGGCGTGGGCCCGAGGCCAGGGGGAGCTTGCATGTCCGGAGGTGGCTTTATCGAGGCTCGCAGGGCATTGAGGTTGGCCTTTTGATCCTCTGTGAGGGACTCGGGAGAGAGCCCCAAGGCTTCAAGAACTAAGTCTACCTCACTCTTGGGAACGTGCAGAAGGACTCCTCTCTCATAGGTGTCAGAGCACTTCCTGGCCACATCGGTTGCTTCGGAGATGGCCTCCTGAAGCTCCTGCATGCCGCGGAGAAGGTCATGGAGCTTAGTCTTGGTCTTGTTGATCTCCTCCTGGAGCCTGAGCTTTTCCTGTCCCAACTGCTTGAGCTTCAAGATGGAACGACGGAGAGCATTACCCGACTCACGACCTTCCTTGAGAGGGTCGGGGGTGGGCTCAGGGGGGGGTGGAGGCAAAGCCTGGCGGATGCACTCCGGGAGCCGCTCCACGTTGTTCTGGAGTAAGGCAAGGAGGTCTGGCTCCATATCAACATCAGAGGTCTGCGGGGCCTCAAAACCAGCATCGCTGAGCTGGGTCCTGGCCTCATCCGGGAGATCAGCCCACACCTTCCGAAGGGACTTAAGGATGCGGGTGTTGCGCTTGGAGCGATCATCCTGGGCCTTCGTTGGGCGAGGGGTGGGCATGTCGTCTGGGAAGAAGTCGCCAACCTCAGCCTCGTCGTCGAAGGTGACCTGCCTACGGGAGCGGGGAGCGCGCTTGCGAGGGTTCCTGGTGGGTGACTGGGTCGGTGTGGAGGAACCACTACCTGGGCTTGGAGCCTTCGGGAACCGAGCCTGGCAGGCCGGACAGGTGGGGTGTTTCCAAAGCTCGTCGACCCACACCCAGGCTTTCTGGCAGCGCTTGCAAACGTGGTAGGCACGGTGAGGCATACCTCTGCCAAAATGGCGAGGGAAACCTCAGCCCGAGGCGAGGAGGTACAACTTTTCACACCCCCTTTCGATGTGTGTATCATCTCTCATCCTTGCTGCTGTCCAAAACAAGCACTTCTCGACACCAAGCACACATTGAAACATTGCCAACCATGTAGCCACGCTGCAACCCATGCGAAGCGACGAAGACACAGGTATTGGAAAATCTCGCGCCAGATAGCCAGCTCTTCTCTCATGCCAGAAAGGATATCACCCAAAGCGAAGCCCAACGGACTTCTAACAGTGAATATACACATAGGCATCCTTGAGAATACCAGCTCTCACCGCTCATACATGTACCCATGCTCCCAAATTGATAAAGAACTCTTCCGCAATCCAGCAAGGATTTCACTCCTCCGCCAGTTTGCGCTGGAATCCCTTCTGCTTTGAAAAACCAATCCTCATCAAATACCCCGCAAGGTCCGAGGCTTGACTGGATGGGGTCGTCGGATCGTAACTGCGACCAAATTTCTCCTTGACCCAATTGAGATAGCTTGCAAGGTCGCTATCCTCCTTGGATAGCTTGACCAAGGCCGCATAGGACTTCTTAAACCAAGTCTTATTCTTCTGGACCTTTGGCAGATCGCAGATTGTTCGACCCCAATCCTCCACGGAGAGATCACTCGGAAGTGGCACCGAGGTGACCTCAGTACCCGCATAGCTCACGACAATCACATTGTCACTCTCCCCAAACTCTTCCCCCTCGAAGGCATCGACGAGGTCTTCATAACACTTGGGCGTGCTCACGACACCCTTTGCGCTTCCCTTTGAAATCGGCAGCTGGGCACCGCAAGCAGAACCTGATGCAGTAGACCCATCCTCTGGATATCCACCCACATCTCTGAGACGCTTGGTCCCATCGGTCATAGAAGTATTGGCAGTCGAAGCCAAGCCATCTGCAGAATCCATCTTATCCAGCAAACGGCGCAGCTCCCTGCGCTCATCGGTCGTGAGAACCATGGCAGCACGAGTTCGCACCTAGGTTTCACACGCAAAAACAACTAGCACCAGTACGGAGCTTTGTCTGCAGACCTCAACGTCCGCAAAGAAACCGGCGTCAAGAGGAGAATCCGAACCCAGCCAACAGCCCGGCCCAAACCCCCCAAAAAGCATCACTGCAACGTTTTGATCGCACCTCGAACAATCGCATCAGCGAGTTTCGGAGTGTAAAAACCTGTTTCGGTCCACCCAACCTGCCACAGATTTGCATGCTTAGCACACCTGCAGCTGGAAAAACACTTCAGGGCAGACACAAACTTTTCAGAAGTCGAAGTAAAACCCAAGACTTTGCCTATAGGCTCACCCCCTTTCGAACAAAGACCAGTCATGCACAACCTCACCGGCACATCGAACGTGTGGCCTGCCTTCTTCAGCACCTTCTGGCACAAGTCATGTTGCCAAATCTCATTGTTCCATGGCAGCTCAAAGCTCGAGTGCTTCCCAAGCTTCAAGTACTTCAACACACAAGGAAACACCTCAAACCATTCCCAATCCGACTTCGACGAGCTCCCGCCAGAGAACCGACGCAAGTAAGATCCAGAAGAGCAAGGCGTGGACACATGCACAAACACGCAGTCACACGCAAAGTTCAGAAGATATCGACGCACCTCTTTGAACACGCTGTCACTCTGCATGTTCTCAGTCACGCCAACGTAACTCATCCCGACTCTGCGACATGCACCTTGAACACTCGACTGCGGTCGACAGCACACTTCAACCATCACCAATCTCTTCTCATGATTGCACAAAGACGCAAGTGGTCCCGACAGCGACTCAAAGCCCAACGCTTCGCGATGTATCCCGAAAGCCGAGGACCCCAAACATTTAGTCAAGAGGTCTGACGGATTTTCGATTCCCTTCTTAAACGCAAGGACCAAAGAACCCGCTGCGACACGAGCTTTAAGCCACTCGACTCTTATCTCAAGATGTCTGCTTTGCCTGGGTGTGTCCAAATTGCGAAGAAGCTTCAAAGCGCTTTCTGAGTCACTGTAAAGTACCCCAGGCAATTCAACTTCCTCGCTTTCTCGAAACGACATGAAGACCCTTGCCATGAACTTTCCAAGACTCGACATTTCTTGAGCAACCGACTGCAACGCAAACAGCTCTGACTCCATAGACGACAGCGACACAAGCTGTTGGTGACGACACAAAGTCTTTATCACGCAGCCATCAAGTGTCAACACTCCTCCACTGATTCCACGGCGCTTCGTGCACCTCAAAGGCGCATGCGATGCGTCAGAGAAACACACAAGGTGCCTCTTTCCTTGGTAGTGTTGCGAGGGAGCCAACACATCACTCGCAGCAGGCAACCGCACAACCACGCACATGTCGTTCTTCAGAAATCGAAGCAAGGCTCGGAGACCATGCTCAGTATGATTCGTGGGTGTGGCTTGCTGCGTTGCCAAGATTGACACATAAGCACGCAAGTCCTGACGAGTCTGCGTCATCCAAGCTACTTTCCCCAACGCAGACCTGAACCTGGCATACGCCTCAGGAGACAATGGAACCCCATCTAGCTTCTCAACATGAACCGCACATCTGGGGGACTTGAGGAACCTTTTCCCGAAAGACCATAAGCCTTGAAGGTCTCATCCAAATAATCTTCTGGCAAAGACACTGTGATAGAGGACTCCCCCTTTCTCCTGGAGATAACCCTACCAATGAACCGCAAAGTGCCACCGCCATCCTTGGAAGAATTGATCAACCCAGTTCTCTTGAGTTCAACTTTCTCCTCAATCACTCCAAAGATGTGATCTACATCCTCCTTTGTTGGCGCAATGCACAGAAAATCATCCACATAGACCAACAGCAAACAGGGACCTGACTCAAGCATGCCTGAAAACAGACACGGCTCTAAGCTGCAACTTTGAAGCCCCAAAACCTTCACAGTCTCCCCTACGAAGTAAATCCATTCTTGCGAAGCCTTGCGTAGCCCATTGAGGGCTTTGTTGAGGTGAAGATACAAAGGATCCCCCGAAACCGAAGACACTGACAGAGGAAACCTCATAACCACATCCCTTTCCCTCAAAGGCGTAGCCATGAAAGCGTGAGATACATCAGCGCTCGCAATCACGCAATCTCTGCAACCTGCAACCCCAAGAACCGTGAACAAAGCATCGGCACTAGGAGTAGGACTTGAAATGCCCAAAGCCCTTGCAGACTCTGAGTTCTTGCCAGCAATATCCTTGATGACAATCCTAGCTCGCACAGTAGTTGGTGTTTTCTGCGTCGTGACCCAACGACTAGGGATGACCTTCAAGGTACCTGGGAACCTCTTCTCAAGACTCTGAAGTTCTGAAGCAGTCAACAGATCCCCAGTTTCCATGTGACTCAAATTGTTGACTTCTTTGACCATGCCTTCCATGACCTGATCTCCTGAAAGCTCACCCAAGGTAGAGTCATCAACAGCGGAACTAGGCTTCCAAAGTCTCAAATGCGACCTTTTCCCAAACGGCAAAACAACACTCGTAGAGTTCGGGGCGAACTGAACCGAATCCACAAGCCCTGAAAGCAAAGGGACATAATTGGAAACCTGGAACGCCTGCTCAACAAAACTCGCAAGAGGCATGTGAACATCATTCCCTGTTTCGCAATTGTGGAAGGTAACCATAACTGAAGCAACCCTTTCTTGGTCCTGCCTGATCTCACGCTCCAGATCTTCCAACGGGACTTCAGAGGAGCGTTTCACAGCACTGCTTCCACGAAGCACTTCTTCAGCCTCTAGGCTGCCTCCGCCTTCACTTCCAGTCAACACTGGATCGGCAAACGGCATCTCAGTGTCCTCATCAAGAGCCCCAATGCCCTCAGACTCAGGAGCAGCAGCTCCTTCAAGATTTTCAGGCAGACGCCTGGATGAAGCTTCGTCATCATCGGGCTCCCCAGAAACAGAAAATCTAACACTCAGATGTTGGTTCCTTCGCTTGCAATCAGCATTGTGACGAATGCCAGGAGCATTCATGCCAGACTCGCACGCAGGACAACCACGCGTGAAAACACGACCACTAGGGGCCGCCTCGCTCACAATCCTCGCTGGAGCCTCAGACGAAGCAGCGTCCCCACTGGCCGGGGGAGGCAAAGGAGAACCCCGAGCCTCCTCCACAGCTCGGTCTTGCCTCGACTCATCCGAATCCTCGGCTAGCTCAGAAAGAGCTTCAAGCATAGCCTCTGCATCCGAAGCCACAGGCACTTCAACGTCCACGCTGTCATCTGTTGCAACTTGCGACCGCAACCACGCTTCATATCTCAAACAGCAAGCCCGACCGTGAGAAGAGCCCTTCCTAGACCCAAATTGTGCCATGTTAGAACACGCTCGGCACTCACCTGAGAACCCATACCTCTCAAAAACTCCTTTGGCGGACCGGAAACAGGACACTTCAAAGAGGCACCCTGGGAACTCGGAAGAATCCGAGGCGCAACTGGATGATCTGGCCTCTCAGGCCCAAGCTCACCACGACGACGCAAAACTTCAAACATCCCCGACTCGAAGACAAGCTCAATCGGAAACACAAGCTTGATCGACTTGGCAACAAACACCTTTGGCGTCAAGACCTGGCCCACACGCACATGCGCATACACCAAGCTCCCAAGCGACCCAAATTGCGGATGAAGAAACGCTGCCGCCTCAAAACGCGACATATTCGGGCACAAAGCCTTCACAGACTCAGGGACCTCAGCAAGCACCTTGGACCCAAACAACGCAAAAGGGGTATCTGGCAACCTTCGACCAACTGCAACCTCCTTTGGAGAGCGTTCACCGCCAAAAGCTTTGCCATTCGCATTCACACTCATGCACAGGTAAGAAAGTGCAAGCTGCAGCAAGTCTCTCCGAAACGACAAAACGCAACCAAGCGACTGAAAATCACTTTGCAAGGTAGCTAGCCCTTCTTTAAGGACCCGGACTGTCCTTTCCGCACCACCAAGCTGTTCATGAGCCTGTGGCGCAGCCTTGCGCACCATAAAAATGTACTTATCCGACGCACCTGCAACAAACGACTTCACCGCTTCTTCGGAATCTGTCAAAAGCACAATGCTTGCTTGTGAGGACGACATCCCAAACTCAGCAAGCCACTTCAAAAGAAGACCTCTGTCTTTTGCAATGTTCTCAGTTATCATCACAGCCCCAATAGAAGAAGAAAAGGCCTCACGAAGGACGAGGACCTTGAAAGAGCTACTTGTCTGGCGTTCAGCCACGCTGATCATCTCTCCAGAAGAGTCCAGAAACATAAAATCTGCAACAATCTCTGTTTCAACTCCGCGCTCAGACTTTCGCCTGTGTTGGGTAACACCTCGGGACTTCAGACAATGTTCGCAATCGGGATGGAAGGGCATGTGGCCCTTTGCTCTGTGAATTTCAAGATCTTCCTTGGTCTTCTGCGAAACAACTGCAACATGTCCAATCGAGGAAATTGGAGCAGGATCAACTGAGTCACCCGACGGCAACAAGAGATCACCCTCTGAATGAGGAATCACGCGGATCCAAGGCGTGTCACACCAAATACAGGTATCAATCATATCAACACCCGACTTCACATGACACACAGAAACGCCTTCATCCAAGACAACACGCCAGCCATGCCTTCCAAGAGTTCGCGTTGACAGGATATTGTAAGGAGTGTCACCCACCATCACAGGGATCTTACAGACACCATTCTTGGTAGCTCCACTTGAATCCTTTGTTCGAACCTTTAGCACAACATGGCAACGACCATCAAAGGGAACAGGAGTCCCATTCGCAGCCATAAACGTCGAACCACATGCAGTCAACTCATCATGCGGAAGCGTCTTCAAAGTCACGTGGTTGATAACACAGCATGACGCACCTGAGTCAAGCAGCCAAAACTCAGTTCCAAGCGATTGACCCAACGACTGCAACAATGGTTGACACAACTGCTCTTGGAGCACAACAGACACCGACTCGCTGTCTTCAAGGACAGCTTCAAAACGCGTATTGGGCTCATCAGTTAACTCAATGACACAAGATAACACAAGAGTGGAGTCCACCTGCTGTGCTTCTTGCTCATCACCTTCCTCGGTGTAAAAAGATTCATCAGCATCTGTGTACCACCAAACCCCCGTTTCCTCATCAAACAGAGCAAACATTTTTCCTTTCTTTCCTCCTTTTCCTTTGCTCTTGCCTTTAGGCGAAAAAGAAACTTGACCCTTGGCCGCAGCAGCACCTTTGCCATCAGAACCCTTAGGCCTCGCACTCGACTGAGAAACATCACCCTGCTTGCCCTTGGCACAGTTCAAAGATATGTGGCCCATCTCTCCGCACTTGAAGCACTTAACCTTGGAAAGGTCTGCCGTGCACTGATTCACTTGATGCCCCTTCTTGCCACAACGGTTGCACTTCACACCGCTCCCAGCATCAGAAGGCCTAGCACTCATGCCAAAGACGTGACCATCCATTCCCTCACCTGCCTCAGGCGAACCTGCGCTCTCAGAAAACTCGGTTTCATGCAAGCCAAACAAACCTTTGGCCCCTTGCAACTCAAGAAACAAACGCTGCTGATGTTCCCATCGCAAAGCTGAAGATCGATATGAGGCATATGTCTCACCTTGCGAATGATGTAACGTATACGCTTTCGCGCTCTCAGGCAAAGACCTCATCAAAAGCGTAAGCTGATCACTGTCAGTCAAAGGAAACCCAGCAGCATCTCTAGGATCTAGCGTCGAAAGTAAACGCACAAACCTTGCCACTGCCACCTCAATCTGACGCACTGTGTCAGCAACTGGAGCTGACGAGTCCTGCGCTCGAAACGTTCTTGCCATCAGCATCGCCCTGAGACTCATAGCCTCAGCACGGCTTCTCAGAGAAAACTCCTTGGCAAGCTGCCTCAGCAACTCAAAACCATTACCCATATACGAAAGAGAGTTTCCAAAAACATCTCCCTGCATGGCGACTGCAACAATGTCAAGCCCTTCTCCAAAACTTTGGATCATAAGAGTTATCCGCCCATGATCTGCAAACGCTGCCTTCAGCACACTAAACAAACGAACTCCTCGCGCTTGTTGACTCTTAGACAACGTGTTCCATGCAATCTGTGTAGGCCATCGCGCGGCCTGAGCGATCTCCTTCCCAAACTCAACACTTGCTTGGTTCGCCCATGCAACCAACTCGTGAATATAGGCATTCATGCCCAGCACTTCAGATTCACGCCCTTTCCACGCTTGATGATTTGGCGTAGGTGGAGACCCTAGCCACTTCTCACTGCGACTAAAGACGTCTTTGTCTTCACTGCTCCTCGCATTTTCAGCTGGAACACCAGGTAACGTGTTACCTTGATGTCTCACGAAAGCTGGCACATTCAAATCAGGTGGCGACTGCCCCAATCTCTCAGGAACAAACTGCCCACTCACAGGGACATTCAGTCTTTGGCTAAGATCTGCATACAAGGACTGCAACTCACGCGAACTCATGCGATCAAGCAGATGTCTCCCTGCACTCACATTATCTCCAGAAACCTGACTGCAACATCCTTGATTCGGAACTGTCGAAAGATTCCTCGCAGGACCTGAAGGCACTGACAAACCTGGAGCTGGCGCCACTGGCCTAATGCCAGCACACGCACTTGCAACTGAAGGCGTACCGCTCGAAGGTGGACATGGCATGCTAATATGAGACTCCATCGGCCCCATTCCAGCACGCATACGATTTCCGTACAACGCCCAGGGATCTCTCTGAACACCTGTAAACCACGGATCGCTTGACCCAACACCACTCACACCTTCCACACCTGTTTGCCTCCTTTCCTGTTGCCCACACCCAGCTGTACCACACCCATACTCCCCTCCAGCCTCAGCAAGACCTGGACTACACGGAGCTGGCGCCTCAGCACTTGGACCTTTTGGCTTTTGAGACATAACACCTTCTTTGGGTCGGCGGAAATGGTGTGGGAGCACAAACAGTGCTCCGCTACCATGTAAAACTTACAAACCCTGAACAACCCGTCAAGGTCTGCACAGACTTTTGCTCGCGCAATAAACGAAGTGTTCAGCTGTTCTTGCACTGCACTGCTGTCACCTAAAGCTTTGCTTTAAGCTTTGCTTTAATGAGCCTCAGAACGTGTTTCATCATCGGCCCATTCTTTCAACGAGCTTCAGTCTCAAAGCTTTCCAGCCTTGAGCCACACATAAGCGCGGCACGCCGGATTCACATGTGCTTCAGCACATGTCAAAACAAAACTTCGCTTCAAAAGCATACCGTCACAGCTTCCCTACAAGCTCCACGCTGGCAAACAAACTCGCATACACTACAGCTGTTCGAGAAGGTACCTTGAGGCCTTCGAGAACTCATGCGGACTAACGGCTCACAGCATTCACTCATCTCACTCAAAAGCTCAAGCAACTCATGCCACATGTCGAAAACTGTTCTCGCAGCTGAAATGAAAACCGCAGCTCCCAGTGAAGTGCTTTGAGAAAACCTCTGCAAAACCAAAACCATGCAGAATATATCCAGATAACCATTGCACCTGGAATCGCAGGAAAATTGGCTTGCACTCCAAAAACTGCAGTCAGCAGCCGATGATATACATGTCGCAGCCCAGCACACTGAGCGGCTCCACCACTCAACAGGCAGCTCAGAGGTACAACTTTTCACACTTCTGGGCGAGATAGCCAGCATATTGAGGCAAATCACATGCAAGGTTCCTGTTGACTTGGTTGGCCGTCCGCAGATTGCCATCGCGGGCTGCGTGATGGAGGGACTTCGAGAATGGACTCCTCCCAGCCCAGACGCGGAGAGTTCTAACCGGCAATGTTTGCGAATTCTTGCTATCGTGGCACCTTTCGACTGCTTTTTCCGCTGGCGTTGCTGGCAATCCAGGCTGCACCACAGTGCCCTGTGGCGCCTCCGTGCAGTGACAACCTCTTGGAGGCTGGAATCTCCGTGCGGTACTTGTCTGGATCCGTGGGCCGCAGAAAAAGAAATTCTGTTTTCCGACCCGCCTGTTGCACACTTCGACGCAACGGAGGCCAAAGCGTTGGTCCTCCTTCAAATGTGAAAACACAGCAGCAGCGCGCTGAACCCTCTTTTTCTCACGGCTTGAGCCAAAGTCAGCAGCCGGAGGCTTTGTCTGTGCAACTGGCCACAGATATTCCATGTGCCATAGCACTGCAAGTGAAACACTGCTCAGCCACGTGTTCTCCACAACTGCAAAACAAACTCAAACGTCAGTGGGAGTTCTCGGGACCTACTCAAAACTAGTGCAAGCAGAACTACAGCTACACAGTCACTCCAAACGTAGTTACACCAAGGAAAAACACTTCCCTACACTCTCAAGCACTTCAAAAGGCTTTCCACTGAAAGCAAGCTCGTCAGTCAAGCCTCCAAGGCAAAACTTTCAGCTAAAACGACTCACACCTGAGCAGGCATGCAGGACAACCAAAGTAACATGTCTTAAACATGAACTTTCACACCCCCGCTTGGACTGTAATGCCTCAGCGCAACAGTGTAAGCACAGCTCTTTAGGCTAAGTGCTCTGTTCGTCATCCTCGGCACACGTCCGCACGGCAGTCCCTTCTACGGCTACTTTCAAGACTCGCTTAGCAGCACGCAAAAGAGCCCTACCTAGCTTGGTGGGGTAGTAACCGGTTGCCTCAAGACTTTCAGGAGCAACATGCACATGATTCTTGTCACAAGATTTCCCGGAGAAGATTTCACACCACTCCGAACAGTTGCAGGCAAACCACCATCTCTTATAGACCAAATCAAAAGCACATCGGTCTACTTCTCGTCCAAAGGATAGGCCAAGGGACTTCTTCACTCTTTGGTACGTTTCTTCCTTCCAAAGTCCACAGGTCTTTGGCCACTCCTGAGTCAGCAGGACGTCCTGGCAGTGGTTCTGCAACAGCTTTCCTAGCGTTTTCCACGAAGCAACATGCTTCTTCATCTGCTCACGCCAGCGATGGCGAAACTTCGGTTTGTGCCAGTTCTTAAACCGAAAACTACAACCTGCAGTACACGGCGACGCTACATGGATATAGATCTTGGGCGGATTTCGTTTCAACAGACAGAGCAGAACTTCTCCTACAAACAACTGTGTGTTCTTACTCAAGAAGTCTTCTTCCTGAGTGATGCCAACGTAAGCAACGCTCTCACGCTTGCACGCTGCACACAACGCACTATCACGGGCACAGAACAGCTCAACCACCAGCAAAGGAACAACCCCCATAGCCAAATCAACGGCTACTGTACGATACTTCAGTAAGTTCTCCGGAAGCTCTTCAAGCTTCTCGTGGAGGTTCTCAAGTTCCTCCACTCTCTCTCGAAGTGGTTCAGGGACACACAGTGTCTGCAAGTCTTCCTCACAGATCCGCTCAAGTCCACAAGCCTCCAGCAGATGCTGGAGCATAGCTTCTTCAGGACTCTTTGTGAGTCCGTCGCTCGGATTCAGGCATCCTTGGATGAATGTGAGACGCAGTCTCTCACTTTGAACAAGCTCTTGCAAGTACCGATGCCTCAGCTCCAAATGCCGCACTCGACGCAGCAGGCCTTTCATCTTCGAAATAGACAATGCCGCTTCACTGTCAGACGACAGGTAAATGGGATACGATCCCGTGTCACCGGCAGGCAGGCCTTGAAGGAGCGTTTCCAACAGCAGGGACAGGTACACAGCTTCCTTGGCAGCTTCAGTAAGCGCGGCCAGCTCTGCTTCAGCTGAGCTTAAGGCAGTCACTGACTGCTTCCTTGAGAAGCACTTGATCATCATGCCATGCCAAAGGACAATGGCACCAGACACTGAACACACGTTCCACGAGGCATCCACATACCCCGAAAGCAAGGTCTCCGACTCAAAACTCTGGTCGACCCAGCCAAACGCAGAGAAGCGCTGAAGGTACTCAGGCAACGCCATCACCCAACGCACAACTCTTCTTAAACAGGCTTCGGCTTGGCTGTCAGGATCACTCTGAAAACGACCTAGAAACCCAACAGGATAAGCTAGGTGAGGAAGCGTGAGACTGGCCCACATGAGCTTCCCAAGCACACGTCGATACCTTTCGTACGACTCAGTGCTTATTGAACCTCCAGGTTCCTTCTTCCGGTACTCCCTCTCAAGGTTTCCCAAAACAGGCTTCACACCTTTTCCGCTGATCCCAAACTCTTCACCAAGCGACTTCAAGTAGCCCGGTTTCAAGCCGAACAACACAGGTCCAGCGTCCGTCACACGGACGATAATTCTTCCTAGAAACTCAAGTTGCCCTTTCTTTCCAGGCTCCAAGATCCCAGTCTGCTTCATTTTGTAAATCTTGGCCAACTGAGCATACAGCTCCTTTGCAATCTTTGAGTTCTGGGAGAAGATGATCAAGTCATCAACATACACCAGCACCAAGGTCAAAGAACCGTCCTTCTCGAGACGGTGGTGCACAGTAGGGTCCGCAGTTTCTCCAAACCCAAACTGCCCACGCAACGTGTTGGTGAACTCCAAGTACCAACTCAACGGCCCAACCCGCAAGCCATTCATGGCTTTGTGTAACTGAGCAAAAAGCGGATTGCCCTGATCGTCATACATCCCGTTCGGAAAACGGATGCACTCAACACCTTGGACAGGCGCCTGCATGAAGGCTACCGAAACATCGGCAGACAACAGCGTTCCTCCACGAACCGCGTGCACAGCAAGGACACCTCGCAAAGCTTCCAAGGAGGTCGTAGGGGAATAGATCCCGTCAGCCAGAGGGCTGGAGCCAAGCGCGTAGTCACGCACAACCAAACGCGCTCTCACACGGTCAGGGTTTGTCACAGAGGGTTTGGAAGTTAGAACCCAACGAGTGGTGTGGATTCTTCGCACGGCCTTCTTCCGGGCCTCAGCTTCTCCAATCACGGTTGCCACACCAAAGGCATCTAACTCCGACAGCTCAAGCTTCATCCCTTCTTCAAGATGCTTCCTAGCGAGAACCTTCCCTGAAACTTCACACACCGCGTTATCTGGGACATGTACCCAGATTTTTCTACCTCCAAACTTCATACTGAACCACTCAGCGGGATTATCTCCCCTCCTCAGCTTCTGCGTCACACGAAGGTCAGGTCCTTCATAGAGCTGGCGAAGACCATACTCGTACAGCCAGGTCAGGCCATCATCCATGATATTATCTTCACCATCACCCATCTCAACATCATCCTCATCAAGGACACCACCAGGAGGAGGTTCGACATCCATCCCTTCACCATCAGCAGGAAGAGAGGGGGAATAATCTGCTAGATCCTCATCCTCCATCGCATCAGGAGCTCCAGGCTCTTCTGCTTGTCCCACAGGGAACTCTAGACTACCATCAGGCAACGCCGGAGGGTCAGGAGGAGGCTGAGGTGCATCCAGAGGCACATCAAACTTGATGGGTCGCTCGGGGTCCTCCCGGTTTCCTTTCAGTTGGTCTAGCACTGCTTTGTCAAACTCTACCGGGTCCCGGGCACGAAACGAGCTGAAAATCTCCAAACGAGGCGGCTTCCCATCTCCTAAGGGAACAAAGACACGTATCCCAGAGCCGTTGGCGCCATGGGGCCCAACGTAAATCGCCCTCACTAGGCGCTTTCCTCGATGCTCCGGATAGTCCTTTTGTGGCTTTCCAAAGCCTACCACCCCAAACTCACAACTCTTCACAGCTTGGACTGTAGAGCCCCTGAGGCGTTCCAGAGGCGTGCTTTGCTCCTTGGACACATGAAACAAGTTATGCATCCTAACAGCATACCGCATGGCTTCAATAAACAAGTAGCTCCCTAACGGCAGCTGCCCTCCTACACGCTCTTCCAGTCCTAGCCAAACAGACCAAAACGCTTCTTTCACGAGGCAAACGTTACGCTCAACAATGCCTTTTGCCTGGGGCCTGTTCACTGCAAACGGAACCCAATGCATGGACCGTCCTACAAACGTCCTATGCTTCGCAGAATCCCGGAACACACTCTCCAGGAGGTTTTCTTGGTCACCGTGGACCACAATGTCCAGCCCGTTGAGGCCCATCTCAGAAAGAGCCTTGCAAACGGCTGGTACAGGCACCGGGTCCTCAGGACCCAAAACAACAGTACTCAAGTATCCCGACAGGACGTGAACGATCAACAGAAACCGAACATTTCGACCGAAGAAGCCAAAATCTACTTGAAGCTCTCCCGGCGCATAGTGGCTCTTCATGTTCTTGCGTCGTGCTGGCACACGACCACGTGCCGACTGGCACACATCACAGAAACTCAGATAGGGCTGATGCCCTTTGTTCCGGTGCGCTCGCAAACGCTCTGAAGTAATGTATACTGGAACCTCAAGGTCTTCAGGAGGAGACAAACCTGAACCAGACGGCTCGGGACGAGGTTCGGGGTCAGGAGGGCCGGGAGGTTGAGGCTTCGGGTCGGGGTCTGGCAACAACTCTTCTTCAGAATCAACAGTGATCTCAACCGGCAGGCCTGCAAGCATACGCGCCCTATGCACAACACGCTCGGACACAACATCCTCAAGCACAACATGTGGGGCCTCAGGAATCCGCGGTGCTTCTTCATTGTGCTGCCCACGCAAGGCAGCAACTTTCTTACGCACTTTGCGGACCAAGCACAACAACCTTCTCATCATCGGCCGTTGGACTCTCCAAGGGAAACACCGACGGGGATTCCGACCTTTCAAAGTTACTCGCACCCACTTGTGTCTCCTACGGCTTCCGAACCGCAGCTTCCTACGACCCCCGCTTCGACGCACTACCACAGCTACAGCACAGACTGCCAGCAGCACGCAAAAGCGAAACCCCGCAACCTTTGAAATAACCCTGAACAAGGCTGCGGCACACGATCTTTCTAAGGAACACCTGGGCAGAGCGAGACACTTTGTGGATCCATTCGGGTAGGGCGTAGCTTCGGGAACACTCAAGCAACACGCACCTACCGCACCACACTCGAGGTTACCTTCTCCTAAAGCACTGCACTCACGACAACCTACCGCTTCGGCACTGCACTCTAGACGTTCTACAGCTTCGGCACTGCACTCTAGACTGCCTACCACTTTGGCACCGCACTCTTGCACCTTTTTCGGGGAAGACACCGAAGAGCTCACTTTGAGGATGACGGGCCTCGAACCTAAGGTTGAGGCCAAAACCTCAGAAGAAACACACCGCCTCAGATCGAAGGTGATCGATCTCTCTTCTTTGGCGTAGGGGCTAGAGTTGCCCTTGCTGTTGGCCGTGGTGCTTTTGACGGCCTGGCTGAAGGTCTCACTGTAGGGCGGGGCGGTGGAGTTTGAGGCACAACCGACACACTCGGAGTGATGGGCGTCACATGCTGGCCCACAGCTCCAAACACCTGGCGCAACGGCCCGGTGGACCACGGATTGAAAATGCCTCGGTATCCTGGCGGTGGTGCTGGAGGCACTGGTCCCATGTACCCCAAGAAGGGCGGCGCCGGCGGGAACATGTGCATCTTCCCAACAACCTGCGGTGCTTGTGGTACAGGGCCCATTGGCCCAACCATCGGCGGCGCTGGAGGTCCCATGTGCCCAACATCCGGCACCTGCCCCACCTTGGGCATCGCCTTCACTTGAACAGCTCGGACCGCCGGCCTCAAAGCAACTCGAACCGCAGGCCTCGCAGCAGCTTGAGCAACAGGCCCCGCAGCAGCTGGAGCAACAAGGCTCACAGCAGCTTGAGAAGCAGGGCTCTCCGGAACCTTGGGCATCGCTTTCACCAAAGGTGATCGTTGGGGTGTCTTTGGAACCGCAGATCCGGGCGACACGGGTGTTGTCGGAGGCGTTCCTGGAGGAGTGATAGCTTCCACACTCGAAGACGACAGGCTGATCCGCCTGCTGGCTGGTAACTCCGGAGGAGTCCCAGACTCTACGGCTCCCTCGGGGGCCGCTGAACTCTCGGGGGCAGGGCATCCCCAAGTTGTAACTCCAAAGTAAGCAAACGAACTGTAGCAGCGGCTTGCTCCTGAGCAAGCAGGGCTGCTTGGAGCTCTGCCTCCTTGCGTGCCCTCTGTTGGGGCGTCCACTTCTCGACAGCCACATTGGCGGCTGCCTTCGCCGCTGCCGACGCTCGCTCCTTCTCCGCCAAGTTCTTGCTGGCGGCAGCCATCTTGAGCTCTTGCTCCCTCAGCAAAGCCACTCCTTCGGCGGCCTTGTCTCTCTCGCCCTCGTTGTGGTCCTTCTTGTCCTCGGCGACCTGGTCCTTTTCTCGTGCACGGCGCTCCTTGGAGCCTTTCTTCTTCTCCTTCTTCTTGTCCTTCTTCTTCTTCTCCCGAGGAGTCTCCGGTGGTGTCTCGGGCGGCGTCTCCGGGGGTCCAGGCGGCACCACAGGCGTCCCCGGTGGAGGCGGGCTCGCAGGAGGGCCTGGCACCGCCTTCCATTTCCCCCAATCGTCGGCCTCGTTGCCCTCCTGAGTGGGAGCGGGAGGTTCTCCAGAAGGCAAGGCCGGAGAAGTTAGGGAGTGAAATCCTCGGTGGAGCAATTCCTTCGAATCGCATCTGTTCATTGCCACTAGTTCTTCGGCCTCTCGCCTCTGCTCTACGCTGCGACTCAGCTGCAGCTTCTGCACCAAAGACTGTCGCCTGCTGGATGCCGCTGTCTGCATCGCTCTGAGATCTTGCCATCTCTCGGACATAACCATCATCTGGGCCGGCTCCTTCTCCTGAGCGACCCCTTCCGGCCCCATCTGGAGCAAAAGGGCCCTCTTCTTGACACACAGTCCCCGTCGTAACGGAGATGACTCCATAGAGAAAAATCACCCACCGCAAGGCTCGAGACAGAACCGCGGCAGAAGAGATACGTTTCTGCTTGCTTTTACGTGTCCCTAATGCACCTGCACTTGCACACTCCGGACGACAGGCAGCTTCCGAAAACCCTGCACACTCACTCCTACAGGCAGTCTCCGAAAACCCTGCGCACTCACTCCTACAGGCAGTTTCCGAAAACCCTGCGCAAACCTTCACTGAAGCAGCTTCCGAACCACAGGCTCTCACAGTACTCTGAGGCGTTGGCGGCAAAGGCTCTACACTCACACATGCACTCGCACTCCTACCGCTCCTACGGCATGCTTCGGTGTGGGTGGTGCTTGCTTGCTTAAGCGAAACGGCTGCGGACGAAACACAGACTTCAGAACCTACCACACAACCCGCACACAGCTCTTCAGAACAAACTGCAGGCACTACCTCAGTCTCAGCTGCTACTTCTGCTGCAGAAACACACTCGCACGAAAACTCACTGCAAAAGGCTCGCAACAAGAACTTGAAAGGAGTCACTTCCAAAGCTCTCTGCGGATGCTTGTTCGGATGCGCCTTCTCCTTGGCGCGGTCCACTTCCATTGCATCTCCCGTGTCGTCGTCTTCTTTCCCAAACTTCGGTGGGGTACCTTTGGGCACTCCTGCTTTGGACTTCGCTTTCGCCTTAGCTCTCGCGGGGCCGATCTCCTGGGCCATTGCCCACCAGCTCCTGGCTTCCGTCTCTAAGGGAACCCAAACCCAGGAACCCTTCCCATTCTGCTTCATCAAGCAACTCTCTCCGGGTGTGGCAGTGAACCAAGAACACCAACCCGAAAGCGACGCCTGCCAAGAACTGATCACATTGAAACCAATCTGACAAACCAGGACCTTCTGAAGCACTACAGACCCTAGCCTCCCAAACTTCACACGGATATCGACCAACCAGGCATTCCATCTCGGTGTCGCTAGCACTCATCAAGACAGGCAGCGGTCCCGAATGCTCCTTCACGACTTCGTAAAACGACAAAGAAGCAACAGACAACACGTGGCACGTGGCTCCACTATCAACAAGCCACGCAAAGTGACTGTTCCTCGAAGAGGACTGGTTCAGCTTCTCTACTTCCTTATCCGTCATGGTGAGACGTGGGGGCTCAGCATCATTGGGCTCATTCTTCACTGCTTTCCCTGGGCGCATGCCCCTGAGACGATGAAATCTCAAGGCCATCACTTGCTCCGACGGCTCGTCTTCAACAGCGCGTCCCTTGGACTTCGCTTTCGGCTTCGCCTTTGGCTTTCCCCACTTTCCTTTGTCCTTGCCCTTCTCGCCCTTCTTGTCGCCTTTGCCCTTTCCTTTGGGCTCGCCTCCTCGACCGCCACCACCAGAGGGCTTTCCACCCTTGCCTTTGTCTTTGTCTTTGCCTTTTCCTTTGCCACCCTTCGGTGGTTCAGGACACTGCCAACTGTAGTGACCAGCCTTGCCGCAGTTCCAACACAAACCCTTGTCACCAACAGCGTGAAGGGCTCCAGCGTCGCAAAGCCTGGTCTGTTCCTCAAAGAACCGGATGCTCGTCACAAGCTCTTCCCAAGTTCCAGACTTGCCGTGCAAAACAACGTAATGCCGGCACTCAGGGTTGACAGATTGAAGCAAAATGGTTAGGCGATCCGAGCCGCCGGGCTTCAGCTCCGGAAAACGATGGAGCTTCTGATCCACTTTGCCCAGCTCATCCTCCAAGAACCGGACCACATCAAGTGGCCTCTTGTAGGTTCGGGCTCTGGCAGGCAACTTCAGGGCCTCATCTCTCACTGCAATTGCCTCCATTCTTGAGACAATGCTGAAAGTCGCATGCATTTGCCGCATGACTTCGTACCCACAAGCAGCTTGAGCTTGCCGCATGGACGTGCTTCTCACAAGCTCCATGCCTTTCTCAAACTTCTGCAAACTCTGTTGAAGGTAGTAAAACAACCGAGCAGACCTCGAAGCCACAGGAGCAGACATCTCTGACTGCTTGATCTCCCTGTTGTGCACCATTGCTTGGCGCAACTCGTTGACGTAGTTGTCGTCTATGAGCGCCAACCATGACGCCAAAACTTCACACCAACGGTGGTACTCTTCCAGCTCTTTCACACGCCCTTTCCCCATCGATGGAGCGTCGATGGTGGGCAAAGCAGGGAGGTACTTCTCAGCTCTGTTGCTTCCTACGTGCACCGACGGACCAGCAGACGCTGGAGGTGGAGGAGCAGTAGCTTTAGCTGACGGACTTCCAGCCGCAGCCGTCGAACCAAAGGGGTCAGCTACAGCTGCAGAGGCAGCCTCAGCTTCTCGCCTTCTTCTCTCATCTGCGTCCATCCTAGCCATCATGACCTGGAGCGTCTGCTGTTGCATCTGCATCATATTCAGCATCAACTGCTGCAGCTGTGGGTCCAAACCAACTGTCGTCGTCACTGCAGGTGGAACCGGTGCTTGCTGCAGGACTCGGACCAAACAGTTCAAAGTCGTCCTCCTCAGGCACTGGGGTCGCGGCACTTTGGGCAGGGTCAGCCATGGCTTCTCTACAGCTACGAGCGTGCTACACACGCTCCGCTACCATGTGAAAACACAGCAGCAGCGCGCTGAACCCTCTTTTTCTCACGGCTTGAGCCAAAGTCAGCAGCCGGAGGCAACTGGCCACAGATATTCCATGTGCCATAGCACTGCAAGTGAAACACTGCTCAGCCACGTGTTCTCCACAACTGCAAAACAAACTCAAACGTCAGTGGGAGTTCTCGGGACCTACTCAAAACTAGTGCAAGCAGAACTACAGCTACACAGTCACTCCAAACGTAGTTACACCAAGGAAAAACACTTCTCTATACTCTCAAGCACTTCAAAAGGCTTTCCACTGAAAGCAAGCTCGTCAGTCAAGCCTCCAAGGCAAAAAAATTCAGCTAAAACGACTCACACCTAAGCAGGCATGCAGGACAACCAAAGTAACATGTCTTAAACTGAACTTTCATATCAAAGGTTGGTCGCCCAGGAGGAAGGCCGCACACAAACCCTGCCTGATGGCACGCGCCCAAGATTCCGGCAGGGCATTCTCGGGCGCAGGAACGTTGGAAGCGGCAGATGAGTTCATCAGTGAAGGGGTCTCGGGTCCGGCCTCCAACTTCCCTGCATTTCCACAGAGCTTTGCAAAACCTTCATATGCCACGATACCCACCAGTATTCCTTTTTTTTACGTTTGAAGAAAATGTACACTTCCCAAATTACCAGATGCTTTAGCTGTGAACAAGAGTCACTCCCTCGAATGGGCGCGACATGCAACGCCTGCTGGACAGCTGGCCATCCGATGAGGCGTCCGGCTTTGCCCGGTGATCTCTGCTCACCCCGATGCGTCGTTATGTCTTGTTTTTGGCATTCTGTGATCCATTACCGAAGCAACACGGGACTAATGAGACGGGCAGGCGACCGCGGCGTCCGACCAGTCACGCCGTGTGGAACCACCGGGACGCCGACATACGTCGATGTTCGTTCTCAGTGACACCATTTTTCTCCTTGCCGGGCGTATGCCCGGGGCAGGGACCCAGCCAGCGTGGCGGTGTCCACGCTGGGTCCTTGTGTAAACGTATATCCTCTGGTTTGGAAGGATATGGTGGGCGGCTCATCTGCAGAAAGCTGAACAGTTCTTGGCGAGTTTCCTGGCACTTGGAGTCTAGGTCCTGTAGGTTTTCCTGTTTTCGGATGTTCTGAGAGCTTTGGTAGTACCAGGGTGCTGTTTTGGCCCATGGGAAGTTGTTTAGAGAGCTCCGAGCCACCTTTAGGTAGTTTGCACCTCGGTTTGCTGGAAGACTTTGTGCCGACTTGGCTACCGGAACTGCGTGTGGAGTGCAGCAAAACGAAGGTCTCTGTCCGAGTGTGCTTGGTAAGGGGTTTTGCTGGGCTTGTTGCAGTTTCGTTCTTTTTTGTGGTAGCGGAGCGTGTTTGATCCTCTTGGGACGCACGCTTGACCGCTTTGAGAGAAGAGCCCAATACGCAAGTTTTACAACTGAGTTGAGGGTTTTCGTTGCGTCGGTGAAGCATGGAAGGGCGAGGAAGACCGTCGTTTTAATGACATGACTAGGGACGATGACACCCCTGGAGTTGTCAGACGTTCGAGTCGTGGCTCTGATATGCCATACCCGGAGAGACGAGCGAGACCTTCTTCGGTTCCTAGAGGAGCGGGGTTTGGACCTGCTTACAGCCCTCCCACCTTTCCGCTGCAGGGTCGCCACCAGGGTTCCACGTCTCCTGCAGGGTCACAGCCCGGTTCCTCCTACTGGCTCCTTTACGGTTCCACCGGGGTTAGTACCGTCACCAGTGCCGAGCGCTCAGGGCGCGGCACCTTCACACATGGAATCGCTGTTGATGCATACGGTGCAGGAGCAGCAGAAGCAGATCAGCCAGATGGTCACGCTAGTTGAGGGTTTGGTGTCGAGGGAAAGCCAGAGGGAGTCCAAGGGAAAAGGGATTGGAAGCCTGTCCGACATCTCTGGTTCTTCCATGGATGTTGACGAAGGTGCTCCTATAAGGAACCCGAAGAAGCTGCCTTCTTTGGATGGGACTAGGATGGCAAAGGGCAGGAGGGCTGAGATTGAAACCTGGGTTGAGTACCTGGAAGTTTTCCTTCCATGGCTAGCGTTGTTTGATGACCGTATCCCAGGGGAGATTCAAGCCTATATGACCAAGGACAGCACCATCCAGAACAGCAGTTTGTCGAGGGGTGAGAGCGTGAGGAGCACGAGGGTTTTCCTTTATCTGCGTCAGAGTTTTGGGGCCTACCCAAGGGGTCTCGATGTTTTGAAGCAGGTTGAGAAGGAGCAGCTTGGCGCACCTGCGGGATATGAAGCTATGAGGCGACTCCATTCGGAGCTCAGTGTGTGTAGCAGGATAGAAGCTAGTTCGCTGAGGGAAGAGATCCTGAAGTTCACTGTGCCCAAGGGTTCTGTGAGGCCCCTCGAGGTCTTTCGCTGTGTGCAGGTTGAGCTGGCCAAGTACCAGCGACTCACGGCAGCGTTTGGGGACCTAGGGTTGACCGAGGCAGACAGGTGCATGGTAATGCTTAGGAATCTGGACACCGAAGTGAAGAAGTACATCTTGCTTCATGCTAAGATTGATTCCATTGATCAGTTGGAGACCGCACTCAAGTTTTATGATGCGAATTTGAAGATCTTGATGTTCCAGGAGAAGCCTGGCGGGAAGGGGGATCATGCAAATCAGCTTCAGTTTGAGAAGGAGAAAGGAAAAGGAAAGGACAAAGGAAAGGACAAAGGAAAGGGAAAGGACAAAGGAAAGGAAGGAAAGAAAGGAAAAGGAAAGGACCAGAAAGAAGGCAAGGACAAAAAGAGCAATGGGAAGGAAACCCCGAAGGGTGGCAAAGGAAAGGACCAAGGAGCGGCGGTGACACCGCCCCCAGGGAACGGCACGCAGAAGAAGTGTTATGTGTGTCAAGAGGTCGGCCACTTTGCAAGGGATTGTCCTTTGGTTGCTCAGGCTCAGGGTGCTGCAGGGAAGCAGGGTAAGGGAAACCAAGGGAAGGATCAGAACAACAGGGCAGCCACGGTTTTGATGGAGCCGGAGTTGTGTGCCGCTGTGCATCACGTGATTCATGATAGGGAGGAAGACAGTTTCTCCGAGACGTCGCTTGATTTTTCCGATTGCGATTGGGAGAATTTTCAGAACAATGTTTTGGAAGAGCCTGTGGTGGAAGGCCAGGGTTCCGGCGACCAGGGTTTGCGTGATGAGGGTCCAGGGTTTCTGCGTGCCAGCGAGGGTCCTGTACAGCATGTAGCAGCAGTAGCAAGCAGCACCGAGAACACCCAACACAACAACAGCATGCTTCCTCATGTGCATCATGTTTCTGCAGTGGCCCGCGCCGCCGCCCATGGAGAGGAGGTGGACCATGTCTTGCTCGACTCAGGAGCCTCTGTGCATCTGATCGCTGAGAGCATGTTTTCCAGTGGGTCTGCAGAGTTTTTGGAAGCATTGGGTGATAGCGGTGTTGGCTGTGTCACGGCAACCGGGGAGGACATTCAGATTAGAAGGCGTGCTAGGGTTAGGGTTAGGTTGGTCTTGGCCTCTAGCAACGGATCTCCTCCTACAGGTTCAGTGCCGGTGACTTTTGAAGCTTTAATCGCACCTGTGCGGTATAGCCTTCTGTCTCTGGGCCTCCTTTTGAAGAAAGGTTGGGATGTAGATTTCAGCAAGGTTCGGGTTTTGGGTCCCGGTTCACGAGGAAAGCCCGGATGCAAGCTGTATGTAGAAAGACTGTTTCTGGTTGTCTGCGAGCCGTTTTGTGCCCGAGAGCACCCGCCTGCGTTTTCAGCTCCTGTCTGCTGCGGTGCAAGATGAGCAGCAGCTCGGAAGAAGAGGTTCCAGCGTGGCGCCGCCCAGAGATGCTGGGAGAGGGCCAGGACCGCGAGGGTCAGGGATCTCCGTCGAGCAAGGGTCAGGGGTTGCATCAGGGGAGCTCAGAGGGTCGAGTGCCGCGTCCCAGGGTCGAGGGTCTGTTGGAGCCAGGGTTGCCAAGTGTGATGGGGACAGAGGGGGTTCACCTGAAGCCGGGTCCTCAAGCCGTTCATTCGGTACCGCCTCTGCTTGCGCAGCTGGCAACGGATTATGCTTCAACGTCGGGGGAAACTGTTCGGTCTCAGGAGATGGACAGTGCCGAGAAGAAGACCGAGGACCAGGGAGCAGCCAAAGCAGCCAAGGGCAGCGTCGGAAGGGTGAAACCAAAGGTGAAGAGGATGCCAAAGTATCCGGCGACCAAGGCCATGCCAAAAGTGGCTCTCCGACCCAGGAAGGGCGCGATGGTGAAGAACAAGCCCGTGGGGAAACATTGGAGGCCATACCCGAGGAATCGGGGAAAGAAGCACGGCTCAGGGTCCAAGGACAAGGGCAAGCCGGAGATGGTGGACCAGGAGACGCAGACGCCGGAGCTGAGGACCGTGGCACAGCACGGGGAGGCTCATGCGGGGATGACCAGGTACGCCAGGGCTTTTGCGGGGCATCTCGAGAGTCGCCAGAGCACGGCCGAGTTCAGTGCAGAGTTTCCTCTGCTCAGCATATCGGTGGCAGCCGGCTTCTTCGAGGTGCGGGATGCAGGGCACGGAGCCGCCTATGGAGAGTGGACGGCTATGCACCCCGCGCCTCCGGAGCCATCGAGCGGGTCAATGGAGAACCCGACCATGGTGCAGCAGACGCCGCCGCCTCTTCCTCGAGGCCCGCCGCCAGTCCGAGCACCTGTGGCAACAACGCCGGCGGGGTTCCCATTGCCACCAGGGGTGGTGTGGAACGATCTGTAGATGAGTCTGTGATGGCAGCAGTCCCCTCCGAAAGCCAGAAGCGTCCGCTGATGGCCGTTTTGAGGGGTGATCTTCCCATGATCTTTGGCCAGAGTTCAAAAGAGAGCGTCAATGCAGTGGGTCCAGGTTCCTTTGCGCAGGGTTCCGAGGGTTCAGTTGCACAGGGTTCTCAGGGTCCAGTTGCAGAGGGTTCTCAGGGTCCAGTTGCAGAGGGTTCTCAGGGTCCAGAGGGTCATGGTAGCATCGAGGGTGGCGTTGCTCCTTGGATCGTTGCAGGTGATCAGGGTTACCTTTCGTCGAGTGACTTCTCTCTCTTGCAGAATGAGCATGTGTTGCGGTCCCACATCCCCTACAATTCCAGCTGTGAGGA